AAAAGTCTATAGTGATTCATGACACATTCTCTGTTCTCAACTTCTGTTGTGCACATGGCATGCATATAAAACTACTCCTTATTGACAAATGCCCGTGTTTGACAGATTGAATAAAGTTGGTAATGTATGAGGGAATTTTGATGGCAATTATAATTCTCACGTCTGGAATTTTGCTTTCTTTCAAAGTTGAATTTTGTTGTTGTTAGCAAAGAAGCAACACATTTCTTGGATTATTTTTCTTATACAGGGAATCCTGGAACAAAACCAGCAAAGCCCATTCCGCATTCAATCAATATATTTATGTTAAGCAGCATGGGACTGATACCTACAAATATAAAAGCAGCATGGGAATGACTGCTGAACTGGGACAATTGCTAGTTTCGTTCAAGTATTGAATCCCTTTTTTTTTTCTTTTTTTTTTTTTGGCGTTTTCCTTTGACTACTTTTTTTTTTTTTTTTTGTCGACACGATAGAATTCCTATAATCTAAGCTAGCCTATTCTAAGGGGGAGATCTAAGCTAGCCTATTCTAAGGGGGAGGGGGAGGGGACTCGATGTAAGTAAAGACTCCATCGAAACTGGTCAATGAAAACCGTCACATATTGTGACAAATTTTGTGGGAGGCAAGGTTGGAACCCTTGACCTCCCGCACCCCAAGCTTCCCTTAAGCTTGAGATGACCACTGGACCAAAGGCCCAGTGGCTCCTTTGACTACTTGAGATGGTGACTCCTAATAGTTTTGATATTAATAGCAGACAGTTCTTATGTCAACATCTACAATTACATTTGACTGTTTACCTAAAATATTCTTTGGAAGTATTGATTCCTTTATTTTTTTTTTCCCTTTTCCTTTGACTATGACAGTTTGATTGTTAAAGATTTTGATATTAACAGCAGGCAATCATTATATTAACATCTACAATTGCATTTGAAAGCTTACAAAAAAGTAATTTGATTCCAATCAGCTTTCTTGGACCTTATTTTCTATTCTATTATTACTTTTTTCCACCCCTTTCTTCCAAACTTCAATTTTACTTGGTCAGAGAGGAACTATTCAATGAGGACTACAACATAACATTGCTTGTGCCACAGATGGCACTTTGATTTTCATTTTTTTTTTTTTGGAGAATATTGACTAAGATGCAACATTGGTTTTCCAAAAGTACTTCATTATTAAATTCATAAAAGCTAAAAGTCTGTGGTGGGATTTCTGAATCAGACAAATTAACTAATTTTTTTTTACCTTCTCTAATTTATAAGGACTGTATCTAAGTGTGTATTTTTTAGAAGATTTTGTAACAACCACTTTTGGGGGGGGGGGGGGGGGGTTTGAACATTACTAATCTAGAAGGTATCATGAAATGTGGGAAAGTTTTGGTTCGATTTAGGCTGTCCGCTATCCCCAAAAAAAAAAAGACCAATCATATATAATTAGTAAACAAATCCAGCAATGACAAGTGCAAGAATTAACATCCAACAATAGTTCATCGAGTTTTCAGAGCTTCCCTACTTTGGATTTCACTTAAATTTAAAAATCTGCCTTTGAATATATATATAATTTAAACACTTGAATTTACCATAAAATACATATATATATATATATATATAATTTAAACACTTGAATTTACCATAAAAAGGATATAAAAAGTTTACAATTATCAATATTAATTTACCATATAATATATGCTTTAATACAAAATATATGGACCAACCCCAACACATATAAATGCAGATGCTAATATAATATAATAAAGGGCAAAAGTATCATATAATATATTCTAGTAAAAACCACAACAAATATAACGTTAATGACAATAGTATAGGTAACCCTAACCCTACAATGGTCCAATACAAAACTTGCATATTTTCTTCATGAAAATAACGTATGCACATTTCTTTCAGAGCATCCATACCTCAAGCGAGTTCAATAGAAAAAGTTAGCATACAACACAAGTACATCATTTGCCATTCTTTGAAAAGATGGAAGAAGACAAATTAGTAAAAAAGATACAAAACAAAGACTTTAATTGATATACAAAAGTCAAAAATACAATTCCAAATACCCCTAATTGACAAATGTATTAATAGCTCCCGCGGGTAGGTCGGCCGGTCATATAGTTCTTCTTTAAGACATTAACCAGTGTTCGAGTCCCGTGGTTACTATGCTCAGAGTGCGTTGGGGCGCCCTCTCCCGTGCCGCAAGGGGATTAGTCGGGTCGAAAGCCCGGATACCTCCTGTGTCCTAAAAAAAAAAAGACAAATGTATTAATAGGCCAAAAAATGAGGCCTCAATCCTGCAATTTATTAAAAAGATGTCAAAATGTGTCAAAGTCAAACACCTGATCCCATCAACGACTAACTACCCACCAACAAAAAATAACTACCTTTTGAACCCGTTAACTTCCTCTAGTGCATAGTTATAAAACCCGATCCGGTCCAGTGGTTGAACCGATCAACCCGATGGACCTGCTATTGGACTGGGCTGGGTCTCTAATTAGATCGGTTAAGCACTGGAACCGTTGATTAGTCAACGACTCAGTGATTCAATCGGATTAAACCAAAAATTCGGCCGATTTTGTGGAGAAACCAGTTTTGAGGAAAAAATTTCACTAAGTTTTTTGCTGAAATTTGAACCTATAACCTTAGGTCAAGGTTGACGACATGCTCACCCCACCCGACCATTTTGCCACATGTTAGTTAAATACCATTCTTACACTATAGGAACGTTTTATCAATTTTATCTTTATTTTTTTTATATCTTCAAAACAAATTTATTTGGAATCTTTTAATACAAACTTATGACCCCCAAATTCTATAAATTATAAAATAGATTTAAAAAATAACATATTACTTAATTTATTTTAAAGACAAATATTGTTTTTAATAATTTTTTGCACTTTAAATTCGTAAGTAACCTAGATAATTACACTAAACATAGATAAAATTTTACATTTTAAGTTTAGTGGATTACTAATTAAATTTATGTTTTGCTGATTCTTATATGAATTAATTATTCTATAACAAATCAAATTAAATGAGCATTTGCTATGACATTATTTATTACAATTTATGTTTTGCTGATTCTTATATGAATTAATTATTCTATAGCAAATCAAATTAAATGAGCATTTGCTATGACATTATTTATTACAATTTATATCATATATCCTCTATCAAAAATTATAAGATATAATATTTAAATATATTTAGTGACTGGTTCAACCACTCATCCACTGGTTGAACCAGTGATCCGTTGATTCACCTCATTCGTCGATCTCCTTTCCGAACCGAGTTTAATAACTATGCTCCAATGTCTCGTTGGCCCTCCAATATTACATCAACCCAGACCACCCTTCTCATGGACAAAAGATTCATTCCCACATTATCAAAACTAGGTTCAAGCCCAATCTTAATATCTGCATCAAGATCCTCATGCTTCACCTCAAATCTTCTTGCTTGGCATACGCGCAGAAAATGTTTGATGAATTGCCTCAACCAACTCTTAGTTCCTATGACTATATGCTAGCAGGTTACATAAAACATGGGTTCGCTGAGAAATCCTTTGATTTGTTTAGAAAATTGACCTTTTCAGGTGAAAAGGCTGACGGTTTTACATTTTCGATGATATTGAAGGGATCTAGTTTTCAAAGTGTAATCTCGCTGTCAAAGGTGATGATGATGCCCACAATTTCAACCTTTGCAAGCATTATTGGAGCTTGTTCTGTAATATCAGCATTCGAAGTTGGTCATCAGGTTCAAGGGCAACTTAAGAAGACTGAATTGTTCATGGATATAAAAATGGGGAGTGCTCTTCTTGGTATGTATTCAAAATGTGGAAGAACAGAAGACGCAAGAAGAATTTTTGATCATATGCCTGAAAGGAATGTGTTTACGTGGACTTCCATAATTGATGGTTATGGTAAAAATGGTGCTTCAACTGAAGCACTTCAGCTCTTCAATAGGACGCTATTAGATCCCTTAGTCAAGCCTAACTATGTTACCTTTCTCAGTGCTGTTACTGCTTGTGCACATGCCGGACTAGTTGCAAAAGGATGGGAGATCTTTTACTGCTTGGAGAGAGACTGTTTCATCAAACCAAGGATGGAGCACTATGCGTGCATATGGTTGATCTCTTAGGCCGTGCAGGAAATCTTAATCAGGCATTGGAATTTATTGTGAAAATGCCTTGAAAGCCTACTTCTGATGTTTGGGCTGCTCTTCTGAGTTCTTCTAGGCTGCATGCAGATATAGATATAGCTAATTTAGCTGCCAATGAACTAATCAGGTTAAATGCTGAGAGTCATCCTGGGGCATATGTTGCTTTATCAAATACCTTGGCAGAGGCTGGGAGATGGAACAATGCAAGTGAAATTAGGGAGTTTATGAAGACGAGGCATATCTAGGGGCACTGGCTTTAGTTGGTTTCAGACTGATACCAGTTTACAAGTTTTCCATGCTGGATAATAGATGTAAATGAAGGCTGTCATGAATCTCTATTTCTGGACCAATTGGATAGCAAGAAATGCAATCAAGGAAGAATGTTAGAAAAGTTTCAGCCATGGGACTGCTTAGTTTTGATTCATTACCTAGGCTAACAGTTGGAGAATCCAAAGAACTTGGTTTATGGGCTTCGCTGCCATGTGATTGTTGTTAGGAACAATACTCGGTCCTCCCTCCTAAGAATGCAGCTTGGTTATGGAAAAGTGTCACAAGTGCAAAAAAGTTGCTGGAACATGGCCTCAGGAATAGAGTTGGGGAGGGCAGAACAGGCTATTTGGCAACATAAATAGATTCGAGGTAATGATAGATTGTAAAGTGACAATCAGGATGCCGCAGAACTAGCTTTTGACCACAGCCGGTTAGCTTTTGATCACCGGAAGTGCTTTGTCAACAATGATGATGCTCGATACATGCTCAGCATGCCAATAAGTCTTAACTAGGAAAGCAGACAGGGTATACTGAAAGCATGACTCATGTGGCCAGTAGACAGTCTAGTCAGATTACAATGAAGCAAAAAATGTGGAAAAAAAGAAATGAATGATGGAATCAGTTTGAGGGAAAATGTAGTATAGTTAATCAGAGTTCAAGAATATGGGAGATGCTGTGGAACTTAAATGCAAAACACAAAATCAAGCACTTAGTAAGGAAATGTTTTGACAAAGCACTTCCGGTGAATGAGCTCATATTCAAGAGGTAACAGACGTAAACGCTGTCGAGAAGGGTAGGAAGCTGTAGAGCATATGCTTTTCTTTTGCAAACATGGCGATTTGATTTGGACAGCTGCACCAATTCAGTGGGACGGGCTCAGACGTGTACAAAGGGACTTTTAGCAATGGAGGAACAAGCTGAAGGAGTAAATTAAAATCTTTTCTGCTACTGACCAACGAATAACAATAGTGAACTTCCACCAGCATTTTCCACAATTTTCCTCCTTGTAAGCATTCAGGTCAGGCGAATCTTCTCTACTGCCTCTTAAGGCAAAAACTATTGATAAATTTTGTAATTCAAGGATCACATTACATCAATGAATATCAATTTGGACTTGGATACATCCATAGGATCATAAATCAATGTGACAAACACCAAGCTTTCTCCTTCTTAACTGCAAAAAATCAGTTGAATTCCCCTTCCAAAAGACCCATCTCTAGTGATTTGAGGTGCACCGCTAATCAGATATTACCCTGGTCAATTATGTTCAAGACCATCCATTCACCAAATGGATGGAAACTGTTTAGTATCAACAAAACAACATTTCGAAAGAATGACATACTAGATTCACCATAAACCAAAACTAAGAACAGGCAGCCACAGTACTAGATAAAACATAATAGTAATGCATAAACATCTTATTTTCCATAGAGTATTGGAGAGCAATCCATCTTCACCCTTAATCCCTGATACCAAATATAAAAACAAAATAATATAAGAAAACCACCTTTTGCTACTAGTCATTATCTACTATCAGTAATACTTCTCTGGATTCCTGAATGCTCTAAACCCCAGTTGATCCAAAACCTCCAGCTCCCCTGACGGTTGTATCCAGATTATCAACTTCTTCCACCTCCGGCGTCACAATTTTCCCAATAATCAGCTGTGCAATTCTGTCACCGGGCTTCACCTCAAAGTCAACATCAGAATGGTTGAACAAAATCACCCCAACTGGACCCCTGTAATCTGCATCTATCACTCCAGCCCCAACATCAATTGAGTTCTTCCATGTCAATCCCGACCGCGGCGCTATAATCATTGAATAAATTCAACAACATTTTACTCACATTGAGCAGAAAAAAAAAGCCCAATTTCAGACAAGATAAAATGGATAATTTCTAATGGAATATTACCAACACGGGCATAGGTTGCTTCAGGGACGGCGATGCTCAAATCAGTCGGGATCAAAGCTTTGCCTCGGGCGGGCACTTTTATTTCAGCAGCACTGTCCACAAAAACAAAAACCCACAAAATTTCCACATTTTTTTCATATAATTTTGATACCGTCGTTAAAGAAAGAGTGAAGGAGAACAATACCTGGAGAGATCATAGCCAGCAGAGAGGGAAGAAGCTCTAGAGGGCAAAACTGCTTTGTCAGAGAGCTTTTTGACTCGGAAAAATGGGGCGGTGGCGGATTGGATCAAGCCATTTTCAGGGCCAAGTTTCAGGATTTCTGGGGTGGGTTCTTTGACTTCGGGGCTATGGTTTTGGAGATTCATCTCTTCGGCCATGGCGAAATGGATGTTGGAATTTGGGGAAGTGAGGAGGAATAATTCTCCTGAAAATGGGGAGTTTGAGGTCAATGGCGCCAAGAATTCCCGCCGTTTTTTGCATACGACTGATGAGTTGTAAAGTTACCATTTATATATGTATTTTTTTATTTATTTAGCATTTGAACTTGATAGAAAATGTATTGAATCATGAAATTGTTGAAAAACAAAGATAAAAATCTTATAGAATCTTTGGGTACGCCATTATGTTAATTGAGGGGGTGAGAAGGCTAACATTACTGCATTATTATTATTTTACGTGAAACATTTTGCTGTTTTTCTTTTTGTTTTGGGTCTCACGTTTATGTTTCATTTTTTCAATTTCAATTTTTTATTTTGTTTTGGTAAATTGATTGGGAATAATTTGTTAGCTCGTCTTAACTAATGCTGCATATCCATGAATTTATGTGTGTTTGGACAGGATATTATTTACCTAAATTTATTTGTTTACATCATTATTACAATTTTCAATACATCTTTTTATCTTCCTAATTACTTTTTTATTTTACATACATCACATCACAAAAAGTGCTACAGTAATTATTCTAAATAATATTTCAAATAATCTCCTATCCAAACACACTATTTGCATTCATGGAATTCTTTTTTATTTTATATGATTTGACAATTCTTAATTGTGCGCACATTAAACCCCATTGCGATAACAAAACCTTATATTTTCACATTGATTTGTTCTTGCCAAAGATGAAAAAAAATGAATTTTTTGTCATGTCACGATAGTAGAATCCAATAGATAAAATAAATAAATATAAACTTTTGTCTAAAATTTTATTTTTACTTCAAAATTTTCTAAAAGTACAATTTGCCTCAAATTTTATTTCGAACATGATGTTAATCTTAGTTTGAAAATTGATTGTAATTTCATAGTAATTTTATTTTAAAAGTTTGACTATTTAAGTTTTATCGTGAAATCTATTAGTTTTACTTTCATTATAGCTATAAAGAGTTAAAGTATAGGTCTCCAAACTATAGAAAACTAAAGTGTCTATATATGTCACGCCATATGGTCAGTGACGAAGCTGGGATTTTTTCCCAACAAAATTATCTTAATATATCATATTCAAAATAATTTTCATCTATTTAAATATATGACATATAAAAACATCAAATATTAACTTTAATTATAAATGTATGTCTATTCATAATATGCAGCATAGTCATAACGAAAGTTAAGATAAAAAATAACATTTGATTAAATATCTTATAACATCACAAACCACCCAAGTTGCACATTATGAGACGATGCTCTAATTATCTTCTAACGTTTTCGAAAAAAAAAAAAGAGAAGATGCTCTAATTTGTCACCTGTGCAATATATATATATATATTATGTGCAATACAAAAATAACTATTTTCAATTAAAAAATATAAAAGTTATGTTAACATACCTTGAAATTTCGACATCTTTTCTTAAAAGTAGATTAAGTTTTACGTTCTTTCATAGAACTAAATTCATCCATGATTAAATCAGTACTAAATTTTTCAATAACTTCCTTTTCTACATACATAGTTAGGCAATCATTTAAGAAATTATCTTCCATCTTGTTTCGGAGTTTAGTCTAATTGATTTTCATAATTGAAAATACTCATTCTCTAGTTGCAGTTAATATAGGAAAAGTGAGAAAAAGTCTAGTCATTTGGCTAAGCTGTGCATTTGTATATGGGCTAATAAAGTAAATATTTTTTTTTTGGCTCATTGATAATTGTGAATTGGATCTCTTTATTATAATATATTAAATTGGGTAGATTTACTATGGATCATCAAATTATATGTTTAATTTTTGAAAGTTAAATAATTAGCACAATAAAAATAAATAACTTATTTTGATGAAAAAAGTAATCCAAATGTGGTTAATTCATATATATATATATGTGTGTGTGTGTGCGCGCGCGCACGCGCGCGTGTGCGTGTGTGTATATATATAAACTCTCATAATATAAACTAAAATTATGAAAAATTAGAAGGGCCAACTTTGTTTTATACATAAATTTACATACTATGAGTTCAAATTTTCAAAACTTAAGGGGCCATAGCTCCCCTCAGCCATGCTTTGGCTCCATCATTGCATATGGTGGTTTTTTTTTTTTTTTTAACCCTAATTTTTTTTTTACTACTTTTGCCTTTTACATACTAAATTGGTTTTTTGATTTTGCTTTTCCGTAGAAGACACCTGAATGTATATATATAGAAAAGGAACCAAAGTTTGAACATGTCGTATTTGACTTAGCTCTGCTGTAGCACTTTATCAACTTGGCAGTACTATATTTCGGGTTCGACTCCCGGCAGCGGAATCAGTAACCCTTTTTTTTCCACCCAGTTTTTGCTTTGCAAAAGTGTTTCAGTGTTGATTTATTTATTTATTTTTTATTTTGGAATTGTTCAGGCATTTCTTTTTGGAATTGTCCCAGCTGTTCACAAGAAAGCTCAGCAATTAAATTATTACAGATTTGTTAGAGTAGCAGATGATAACGAAAATTGAAAGCTCAACGTTGAAAAATTATTATTCTTTTTTCATATGCAATGGATATGTTCATTTTGAACAAAAGAAACAATGCTTTACAGTATTTACTTTTCCAAATCAAATTCACTGTAATCAAAACAACAAATAAAATCCTCATGTACAATACAAACTAAAACAATGTTTACTTTTCCAACTCAAATTCACTATAATCAGTCAACCTATGATTAGTTATGAGCCAATCTTTATTTTGAGTGTTATAATTACATTGAACTATTTATAACCGCCCAAATTTTTTTTTTCTTTTTGGCCGCGATTCTTTCACTATGTTGGAATTGTGTAATCAACCAGTGTTGAAATCACCACCCTATAATTATTTAAAGGTTATTTGTAATTTATCTCCCTAAGGGGTATCCTGATTCTCACTTTAGTCCCCCAACATTTGTTTTGTATCACTTAACCCCCTAAGAGATAAAAATACCCCTCTATGATGCAAATTTTTTTCTTTTTTCAAAAATTTATTTATAATAAAATAATAAAATTATCTAACAAAAAATTTTGATGTCCATTCCCTAATTTACAAAACTGAAAAAACATTTTTGCAAATCAATTTCATCTATTTTCCAATTTAAGAAATGAAGAAAAAAATTTTATTCTATTTCCTTATAATTACACTATTCATAATCAATTATCCATTTTTACAATCACATGTCCATATGTCAGTACTGGACATTCTTTGGTTGTTTTCATATAATGAATTTTTGCTTATTATGATCTTTTTTAAAAAAATAATCAATTATTAGTGTATGTCCTAATATATACTTATCTTATGTGAAACTTACCACCATCAATTAGAGTGATCAAAATCAAATCGCAAGTTAAAGTTCAATGACTAAAGGAAGTAGAGAATTTCAAAATAAGTACTTAACATAATAAAGAAGTATTTTTTTTCCCCTTAGGGGGTTAAGCGACAAAAAATAAAGGTTAGGGGATAAAGTGAAAATCAGGGTATACTTTAGAATGGATAAATTATCATTAACCCTTATTTAATATTAAAATACCAAAAAAACATGGACAACTATACAATCCGGATTCAACTCCGAGCAGCGGAACAAATTTTATTTTTGGCCCATCTTCTCTTCTTCGCATAGTTATAAAACCTGGCCTAGCCCGATGGTCGAACCGATCAATCTGGTGAACCCGCCAGTAGACCGGACCGAGTCTCTAATTAGATCGGTTAAGCATTGGAAATCGGATTAAATCGAGTCTCTAATTCAATGGTTCAACCGGAAACCCGACCGATTTTGAGGAAAAGATTTTACCAAGTTTTTCACTAGATACAAGCCTATGTCCTTAGGTCAAGATTTATGACAAGCTCACCACCAGACCATTTTGCCACATGTTAGTTAACTACCATTCTTATACTATATGAACGTTTTATCAATTTTATCTTTATTCCTTTTTTATTTCTCCAAAACAAATTTATTTGGACTATTTTAATACAAACTTATGACCCCCAAATTCTATAAATTATAAAATAGATTTCAAAAATAACATATTATATAATTTATTTTAAAGACAAATATTATTTTTAATAATTTTTTTGCACTTAAAATTCGTAAGTAACCTAGATAATTACACTAAACATAGATAAAATTTTACACTTGAAGCTTGGTGGATCACTAATTAATTTATGTTTTGCTGATTCTTATATGAATTAATTATTTTATAGCAAATTAAATTAAATGAGCATTTGTTATGACATTATTTATTAAAATTTATATCATATATCCTATATAAAAAATTATAAGATATAATATTTAAATATATTTAGTGACTCACTGGTTCAACCACTCACTCACTGGTTGAACTAGTAACCACCACTTCCTTCGCCGATCTCCTTTTCGGGCAGGGTTTAATAACTATGCTTCTTCGAAGTGTTAATCCGTTGATTGGTAAAGTTTTATCCACTTTTGCCACAAACCACTAATTGTCTTCTATAAATATATAGGGAAATGAAGACCAACAAGTCATAGCTTGTACATGGTGTAGATCCGCTGTAGCACTGAATTAAAAGGAAGTATTGCAATCCGGGTTCGACTCCCGGCAGCGGAATATTTTTTCTCTTTTGTTTTGGAAGTGTTTCAATTTATCTTCTTGTTTCGTTGCTCAGCAATGAAATATTAGAGATTTTCTGCCCCTCAAAGAGTAAAGTGCAGTAGACAATGATGAAATCTCAGCGTTGCAAAATTAACTTTTTTGTAAAGCAATCAAAATCCGTTCTAATTGAACCAAAGCGCTAATGCTTTCATTCACTTTCTATTGCACTACCCAAATTAAGTTATTGCTCCCCAAGATTTATAGTACTAAGTCTTAAATTGAAAATAAATAACCTAATGTACATTATAAACCAATACGGTTTCTTCGATAAAGAAATTACTTGATTACACAGTTGTTCAATCTAGAGCCAAATTAGAATCCTGAGGGGAAAGGTTACAGATTCAAGTTTCAAGAATACTGGAGTTATTAACCTAATTATTAGTAATCTCTTCAGAAATACTTGCCCTT